TAATAAATACAAGATCACATTGTTTTCATGTTTGTATCTTTTAAAATACCAAAATTCAGTAGCTGTATCAAGTGCCATAAATGTTTAGGTGCAGGGGGCCCCCCAAGTTCACGGATTTTTACTTCGCTGTTCTCAGTTATTCGCGGATGACACCTTGGATGTACCCAAGAATGTCTGTGGGTAGTTTTAAAGTTGCCGACATTTTTTGCGACTGGGACAGGGAGCTATTTGTTCTAGAGACAGTAATTTCCTTTACCTGTATTGTAAATATGTGTGTGTGTGTGTGACTACATACACACATATACAATAATGGTAAAAGAAATAATTGTCCTAAGGGCAAACACATATGCAATTCTTTGTACACAAGTAGTTGGGATGTATGTTGGTATGATTTTAGAAGTTGAGGAAAAGAATATAAGGTATTATGAAAGGGACTGATTAATTAATTTAAAATAGAGCCAGTGCATGCCAACAGTGTGCAACAAAGATGTGACTGACCACCCATGCGGTATGTTAAAGTAAAACTTAAGTATAAAACAAATGAAGAGTTGAAGAGAATGCCTATGATACATATGTACAGGCATACCCATAACAATCCAGTACAGTCAACCCTCGATAACTCGGCATTTGATAACTCAGAATTTCATATAACTCGGCATGGATAAGGTCTCAGAATGTGTTAGTATAACTCAGTAAATGCCAAGATATGTAAAATTGTCTGGGAAAATCTTGGCATATCTGGCCACCTGTATCACCTACCATGCCTCTGTGTCCCCTACCATGCCTCTGTGTCACCTACCATGCCTCTGTGTCACCTACCATACCTCTGTGTCACCTACCATACCTCTGTGTCACCTACCCACACCTCTGCATCACCCACCATACCTGTGGTGTCCCACCATACATCTGTGCAGGTCACCCCCACCACCCCCTGTGCATTCCACCACACCTCCAGCCACCCACCACACCTCTGTGTCACCCATACCCTGTGTCACCCACCATATCACCCACCATACCTCTGTGTCACCCCCATACATCTGGTGTCACCCACCATACCTCTGTGTCACCCACCATACCTCTAGTCACACCAACCCTCTATACCCTGTGTCAACCATGTCCAATTACACCTCTGTGTCACCCCCATACCTGTGTCACCCACCACACTCTGTGCTCCACCATACCTCTGTGTCACCCACCATACCTCTGTGTGTCACCCACTGTGTCACCCACCACACCTGTGTCACCCACCACACCTGTGTCACCCATGTGGTGTCACCCACCATACCCCAGGTCACTCCACCACACCCTCCACACCCTCCTGTGTCACCCACCACACCTCCGCCCACCACCATAGGTCACTCCCACCATATGTCACCCACCCAGGCTCACCAACCTGTGTCACCCACCCTGTGTCACCACACCCCCACCCACTCTGTGTGTCACCCACCATACCCACCCACCACAGCCTCTGTGTCACCCACCATATTCTGTACACCCACCATACCTGTGTCACCCACCACCCTCCAGTGTCACCCACCATACACCCTCTGTCACCCACCACCTCTGGTCACCCACCATACCTACAGTTCACCCACCATACCCCTCTGTCACCCACCATGTCACCCACATATCCTGTGTCACCCACCATTACACCCACATGTGTGTCACCCACCATACCTGTGTCACCCACTCATACCCTCTGTGTCACCCTACCTAGTGTCACCCACCACCTCTGTGTCACTCCCCACCACACCTCACCCACCAAGTCACACCACCATACCTCCCAGGTCACCCACCACATCTGTGTCACCCACCATATCACCCACTCACCCCCACCCACCACCTCCAGGTCACCCACCATACCCCACCCCTCCAAGGCCACCACCACACCTCCACACACCCACCCACCCACCCACCATACACACCACCATATCTCCACTCACCACACCTACACCCACCATACCTGTGTCACCCACCATACCCTGCGTCACCTACCATGCCTCTGTGTCACCTACCATGCCTCTGTGTCACCTACCATACCTCTGTGTCACCTACCATACCTCTGTGTCACCTACCATGATGCTTCATTCTTCACCTACAGTGCTGTAAGTGTTACCTTTTTACAGTTAGTAATTACATGTACACATATATGGGTCAATATTTTTTTATTGTATTTTTGTAGGAGAGGAGAAGTGCCTCGATAAGTCGAGTTTGGGATAACTCGGCAAGGCTAGAGACCCATATGTGCCAAGTTATCGAGGGTAATATAAAACAAATTTAGAGGGTTAGGGACCGGCCACCCCCAAAAACTCCCATCTACCCTTGATATATCTCTGTACTGCACACTGTCAAGCAAGAAATTAAAGCAGATATATAAAGAAAGCATAATAAGCCTTAAATAAGCAATGTAAAGCATAAATATAGACTGTTATTTACCTGTGTTGTGGATGGTAGAGATGGTCTAGGGTGGCAAGTTCAAGTCTCTACCACTCTTTGTTGGTCCATCAACGCTCTTATTATGCCTTGTTACATCACATCAAACTGAGCACAAGAGGAGCTATCACTGGGTCGTTTAGGTTTGATTACATACACCAAGTCGGAAATAACGAAAAACACACATGGTAAGTGCAGAGAGGCTGGAGTGAGTCAGAGGCAGTGTGCAGAGCCCTCTTGTGGCAAGAATTCACACCATGCCACTGCCCTCCAAATTCAAAACAGCTCTGCCGCTCTTCTCCTGATTGTCGGATCTCCGAGGTTTCAACAAAACTTGGGTATTTCCCCGATATGTAATTGCGGGTTATGCGAATCTGCGGTTAATAGGACGTAGGTTTTCGGAGTATACCTGTAAAGTAAGATGTTGGAACTTATGTAATGTACAGTAGTACCCCGATTTACACGGTCAATTGAACCCTCAGGGTACAGCGGCAAGTGAAAACCGCGTAAAGTGAACAACAGAACATATGGGATTAATTCCAATAGAGACTGGCCCGACCCCCAAACTCCACTTTTTCCTACACAATACCTATGTTGTAGTAAAAATAACATCTATTTTTTATGATGGTATGCTCACACAATTAATATTTAAAAGAAATACAGTCGCCAGGTTAATGTCCATTCAAATAATGGACTCAAATCCCCCCCCCCCCTCTTCCCAGCTCACTAGCTCCTACCTCTCTGAGAAATGTTGGGTGAAAACACTAGATTTTAACGTTTAGTAATAAATAATACCTCAGACTAAAGTTAGGATAATATAATTGACATTTCTGGATTCCTTGCAGGTCAGGGAATATTTTGAATGTAAACTTCATATATTTTGCACAAAAGATAAAATATTTGCTTTGTGTAAACCAAGTTACTTTGTATTACATTAGATCTAAAATATTTATGTCTAATGCAAAATCCATGATGTTTATATTCAAAATGATCATCATATTGTAAGAATTCCAGCAATGTAAATTATATTCTGGCCGGGTTATTTGTATGAATTTTATGAGCTAAAACTTATATCTTTTATATCTTCAGTAAATAAACAAAGAAATATTCTTCAAGGACACGATCTGTCAATCAAAATACTCCGCCCTAGCTGGGTCGGTCCCTCCCTCCCTCCCTCCCTCCCTACCAGAGAAGCTTTGGGAGAAAATAGTATATTTACATTTTTAGTAATAAATAATAACTCGGACTAAAGTTAGGATAATATAATTGACATTTCTGGATTCCTTGCAGGTCAGGGAATACTTTGAATGTAAACTTCATATATTCTGCACAAAGGATAAAATATTTGCTTTGTGTAAACCAAATTATTACATTAGATCTAAAATTTGTATGTCTAATGCAAAATCCATGATGTTTATATTCAAAATGATCATCATATTGTAAGAATTCCAGCAATGTAAATTATATTCTGGCCGGGTAATTTGTATGAATTTTATGAGCTAAATAGAAAAAAAAAATTTATACTTCACCTCGTATATGAGTAGATGCACCGCGGAAAGTGAAAGTCCAGTTCTGGCAAGGTACCGCGTAAATGAGAAATCGCGGAAAGTGAAACCGTGTAAAGCGGGGTAATACTGCATATTTAATTTATAAATGTACTGTACTGTATTAAACTTTGTTTATAATTATGAAATTAAAATTGCTGGTATTTTATTATCTTACTCATGATAAATTTTTCAATGATCAGGCAAACCAAGCAAGACAGTTGGAGAGTATAAGTGATGCTGAAGATGTGAGCGAGTGTTCACAGTTGTTCCTCCATAGTACCAGTCCCCTCAGTGAGTGTTTACGCATAGTAGATCCGAGACCTTACTTCACACACTGTATTAATGGCCAGAGTCATCCAGCATTTACTGATGAAGATCTAAATTCTCCCTGTATTGCCGTATCTTCCTATCGCACCCAGTGTTGGTCTCGAGGAATTCAATTGCCAGAACTGGAGATGTGTAAACCTAGTAAGTAATTAAATGATTTATGGTTTTCACTTTTTAATTATTAACCTTTATGTTCCATTAATACTATATTTTTTCCAGTACTGTAAATCCTTTAACTTTACCTTTATTTTAAGAAACTTTAGTTTAGTTTTGAAATATTTTTAATGAGGTTTTAGAGAAAAGAAGATTGTGTAAAGATTTTTAATGAAAAATGTCCAGATAATCTCTATGATCACACACTGGTATTCTTAAAACATTCTTTCCATTGACAGACACTTGCAAAAAATTCTTTAGCAAAATTTGTATTCAAGAAAATTTCCTTCCCTCAGTGACATAAGAATTCTTCCTTTGAACAGGACAAATTACTGTAATTTGAATGAAATATTGGGACCATCCCTTCAAAAATTCTTCCACATTTTATTGTCCCCTATGTTCATTGAGTGTGCTGAATAATGATAAATAAGTTCTGCAAAGTCTCGTATAGTAACCATATTTCTATTAACATAATACACCGGTAATCCAATTTATTGTGGTAATATAAATAATATTAACAAATTTTTAAAACAGTTTCCTGCGTCCATTGCAATATTCATCCCATCAAAATGTCGCTAGTGTACTACATCACCACGTTCCTGTGATGTGCCCAACCATTGGTAAATATTAGTTTTATTCCTGTGATGTGCCCAACCATTGGTAAATATTAGTTTTATATCTACCACGGCATTTTGAAGTAAATTTATTATCAGAGAATGCAGCTGAATTTTTGTTCAATA